GCCCGACGGCCGCACAGCTGCAGCCCGTCGTCGACAAAACGGCCGGCATGCTCCCCACCTGGAAGGCGCATCTCATGAACAAAGCCGGCCGCCTTGCGTACGTCAAAGCCATGCTCAGCGCAATACCGATCCACCAGCTCCTCGCCCTCGCGCCACCCAAGAAGACCATCCGCGCACTCGAGAAAATTCAGCGCGGCTTCCTGTGGGCTGGGTGCGCGGAGGCAAACGGAGGCCACTGCCATGTCAACTGGCAGCGCGTCGCTAGGCCGCTCTCGCTCGGTGGCCTCGGCGTGCGCGACCTCGGACGGACCAGCCTTGCGCTCCGCACCCGCTGGTTGTGGTTCAGCCGCACGGACAACACCAGAGCATGGGCAGGCCTCGACCTGCAGTTCACCGCTGAGGAGCGCTCATTCTTCTTCGCCTCTACCACCATGCAAATCGGGAACGGCACGGAGGCCCTCTTCTCGGAAGATCGCTGGATCGACGGTCGCTCCGTCTGCGAGATCGTGCCACTCCTCTACGCCTGCACCCCCAAGCGCCGCCGCAAGCTCCGGACCGTCGCCGATGGCCTCCAGGCCAACAAGTGGGCACGGGACATTCACGGCACGATCGGCATACACGAGATCGGGCAGTACCTACAGCTCTGGCAAACTATCAGCACCACGACACTCTCCGCCGAGCCAGATCGTCTCGTCTGGAAGTGGAGCACAAGCGGCGTCTACTCCGCCAAATCAGCCTACCTCGCCACTTTCAATGGCTCCTTGGGCTGCGATGCATGGAAGCTCACCTGGAAGAATTGGGCGCCGCCGCGCGTCCGCTTCTTCCACTGGCTCGCCCGCCTGGACCGATGCTGGACTGCCGACTGCCTCGCCCGCCGCGGCCTGCAGCACCCCGCACGCTGCCTCCTTTGTGATCAAGCCCCCGAGACCATGCACCACCTCACCCTCGCCTGCCCCTTCACCAGACAGATTTGGCATGAGGTTCTGCACTGGCTCAGGCTCCCCTGCGCCCCGCCCGACAGAGAGCTCTCTCTCAACGACTGGTGGCGCACGGCGCGACATGCCACCCCAACACTCATGCGCAAGGGCCTCGCCTCCGCGACCCTCCTCGTCCCATGGATGATATGGAAGCACCGCAACGACTGCGTCTTCAACAGAGGCCAGCCCTCGACGACCGACCTGCTCACGAAGATCAAAGACGAGGCCACCCTCTGGGCCAGAGCCGGCGCCCTCGGGCTTCGTGCCATCTTGCCCCAAACCTGGGACGTGCACTAACATGCCCTCAGCCTTGTAATTCCCTCCTAGGAGGATTGTAACCGAAACCCTCTTTCCAAAGCAATGACATGCAAGCTCTTCTTGCGTTTTCTCGAAAAAAAAATATTCTTCTGTTCGTTCAAGGATACAAAAATGAATTGAAAGAACAGTAAATGTTCAACAAGATAATAAAGAAACCCAACTGTTTATTGTCTGGTATATGAATTACAGGCCCAATAAGTAGGAGTAATTATGTGTAAGAATGTGGAAAGAAATGGAGTAATTTTTCTATGCCTTCTGTAAGAAGAAAAGAGAAGCTGAGAGTGGAGAATGAACAGGTGGCTGTTTGCGTAGAGCTTGTGCTGGATTTTTTTTAGGGAAAAAGGAAGGTTGAGTGCTCATTCCCTATGAATACTCCCTCCATTTCTAAATATAAGACCTTTTAGAGATTTCAATACAAACTATATACAGATGTATATAGACGCATTTTAGAGTGTAGATTCACTCATTTTGCTCCGTATGTAGTCTGTATTGGAATCTCTAAAAAGGCTTATGTTTAGGAGCAGAGGGAGTAGAACTGAACCTGACGTTGTTCCCTTTGAAATAGCACTGAACCTGAAGTTGCAGCAAGAAGCTGAGTCAGCGAGGGATAGTGCTTCAACAAAGGTGGCTGGAAATGCAACAAAAGGTAACTCTGGAGAACTGGGTCAGTTATGTCTAGTGATGTGCTCATGTAGAACCTTTTTACAGCACCCATTTTAATTGAATTTTTTCTTTACGTGTAGCACCTTTTTTCACCTCATCTGGTAGTGAAATTTTTTGTTGGTTAATACAGTTCCAGCTCATAGTTTAAATCACAAAATACTACAGATTCAAGAATAAATTCAGAGAAACCTTGCTAATTGGCATATGGTAGTGGTTTGTTCATATGATCTGGCATCAACTAATCACTGATTACTGAGGTAGGCATCTCTGATGGCATGCATCTCTGCAGCAGCATCACTTGTTGACATCCTTTGTCTTGCAATTGCTTTGAGCATAGGATGCCAAGCTGGATTATGGCAGCCAGACATTCCCTGGCTCTGGTTATATGTTCTGCATCAGCGCTATTGTTTGCTTCATCATGCTGCCAGATGTTGGAGTCTGCTATCTCCATGGCATTCCCAGATAGATGTGCTGCATCTGCAAAGTATTGCAGGGTTAAACCCATCTCTGAACATATCATCTGTCGGGCACCTTCCTGTAAACATCTCGATCAAGGTGATCCCGAGGCTGTACACATCACCATAAGGTGCCGTGGCAGCAGCGTACCCCTCCACCACATGGTCGTGTTGTGTTGGTTTCGTGTGGTTATTTTCGCTCTCTACTCCTTTCCTTGGTATAATTCATCTGAGGTACAACATGATCTGCTTTTCCAAATGCGGAGTTGGTACGGTGTCCAGAAAGCCTTTCTTCAGAGTAAAATAGTAGCAGCACCAACATTTTCCTGTTAGTGACCTCAGACTGAATTTGACCACTCCTGCACCTTTGTTGACCAGATTAAGTGCTGCTAAATTGACCTGGTCCCATGCATCCATGATGCTGAAATCCATGGAGGTCCCAGTGATCCATCCATCAAGGTACGCCGCAATGGATAAAACAATCAGGTAGGAACCAAGGATAAATTTTTCTATGCCTTCTGTAAGAAAAGAGAAAGCTGAGAATGGAGAAGGAAAGAACAGGTGGCTGCTTTTCTAGGCGTTGTTTGGATAGGCAGTATATACAGAACGGGGTCTCCACAAACCAGGGAAACGGCGTAACAAACTAAAATCTCGTTTGGCCACTCAAGCTAATCCATGAATACAGAAAACTCGGCTTTCCAAAATCCCGAATTTTGGGTATATGGAAAAACTGCTAATAGTCGTTTTCCCATAAACGAGTTTTGCATAAACCGGATCCCAGCGTAGAGCAGAGCACGCGCTCGCCGGCGGCTGCGCATGGAGTCGTGCAGCATGGAGAAGAGGCGACAGGGCGTCAGGGAGGAGAGCAAGCGCTCGCCGGCGGCTGCGCATGGAGTCGTGCGGGATGGAGAAGAGGCGACAGGGCGTCAGGGAGGAGAGCAAGCGCTCGCCGGCGGCTGCGTGCGGAGTCATGCAGGACTGAGGGGACGCGACGAGGGCGGTTGGCCCGACGATCTCGGGAGCAGAGCAGGCGCTCATCGGCGGCTGTGCGCCGAATCATGCAGGACGGAGGCGACGCGATGAGGGCAGTTGGTACACGACCTTAGGGAGTAGCGCAAGCGCTCGCCGGCGGCTGTGCACGGAGTCGCCTAGACGGATGGGAATGCGACGAGGAAAGCCCGGGCCGACGATCTCGTAGACCGGGGAAAGCATGAAGGGAAACACAGCAGCAGCCGGATGGAGGATTCATACGCTGCCGAGTTTGGAAGCCTCGTCAATGGACAATGGGGAAGAAGGTCACGGGTGATGTGTAGGATAAGATGTTTGCTATCCAAACAAAAAACTCTACGGACCTGGTTTATTGATTTTTTAACCAAAACAAAGTTCTCTGTAAACGCGTTTTTCACAAAACGAATAGCAAAACCAGTTTTCCTAGAAATCAGCTAAAAACTCATTTTCTATAATCCCATGATAATCCTCATTATCCAAACAACGCCCTAGTGTCTGTTGGATATTTTTTAAGGGAAAGGGAAGTTCAGTGCTTATTCATCCCCTTTGAATCAGCCCTGAGCCTGAAGCTGCAGCAAGAAACTGAGCCAACAGGGGACAACTATGCTTCAACAAAGGGGGCTGGAACAACAAAAGTAACTTTGAAGAGTTGAGTCATGTTGCAAAAGTTGTGGAAGTTGGGCACATTGCCTCCAGGCTAATTACCTTCCACAGTTTGACAGATCCATTGGAAAACACTTTGCATGTCTTGGGCCTTGGCTATGATCCAGCTGTTGACATTGCTGAAATCAAGAATACACATACGTCATTACAACGGGACTTATAAACCCTGGCGGGACCTTGCCATGTCCAAGTACAAGGCCTACTGGTTAAAGTATGATGATGTTGACAGCTCGCACATTCTGACATTGCTATGCAAGCAAACAATGACATATATATCATTTTGTTTTGGTACTTCTCGACAGGAGGGAGTTAGGTAGAGCAGTGGTATGTCTAACATAGTTCAGCATCATATTCTTGTCATTCTTGTGCTTACTCATGTATCAACTACACACACAGTGATTTATAAGTCACAACATAGTAAATATTCTTTTGCTGACTCAAGAATACACTGGGTGTTGTATGGAAGGTGAACTGACAGAACAATAAATGTTCAACAAGGTAGTAAAGAAACCCAACTGTTTTTGCTCTGCCATATGAATTACAGGCCCAATAAGCATGGAGTTATTATGCATAAGAATGTGGAGGAAAATGGAGCATTCTCAATGTCAGAACTCAGAACCATGTAGCCTAGAAACAAAATGCACCCATAAAAAACAAATATTAAATCATGAGCAGTCTCTCACAGTTAGAGGCTGATTGATTCAGGTAAGGGTTGACTGAATAAACTGATGGAGAACATGTGTCTTATTTACACCCAAGGCCACACGAAATGTTGTCACAAATGTTAATGCATATAGAGTGAACAATACAGTACCAGCTGATAATTTACATCACAAATATACTGCATATTCAAGAATAAATTCAGAGGACCCAATCGGCATGTGATAGTGGTTTGTTTATATGATTTGACAGCAATTCATCTCTGATTACTGATGTAGGCATCTCTGATAGCATGCATCTCTGCAGCAGCATCATTTGTTGACATCCTTTCTGTGGGCAATTGCTTTGAGCATAGGATGCCAAGCTGGATGATGGCAGCCAAACATTCCCTGGCTCTGGTTATATGTTCTGCGTCAGCGCTATTGTTTGCTTCATCATGCAGCCAGATGTTGGAGTCTGCTATCTCCATGACATTCCCAGGAAGACCTGCTGCCTCTGCAAAGCGTTGCAGGGTTAGCCCATCTCTGAACATGTCGTCTGTCGGACACCTTCCAGTAAACATCTCGATCAAGGTGATCCCAAGGCTGTACACATCACCATAAGTAGATACCGGAAGCCCTTCTCCATATTCTACAATGGATTGAAACAATTCGGGGTATAAACAGGTATGCACAGAAGTTATTTCATAAACATATACTGTATCTAATTAAGCCTTAAAAAACATATATCTAATTAAATGTGATCATTTCAAGCATAGGGGGAGCATATTCAGTTACCTGGAGCAACATATCCGATGGATCCTCTTATTCCCATGGAGCTAAGGGAACTTGCAGAAGCTTCGCTTGCAGCCTCTTTTAGAATTCTAGCAATGCCAAAATCCCCAACACGAGCCCTCATGCCCTCTGTGAGAAGAATGTTGCTTGGCTTGACATCGCAATGGATGATGGAAGGCTGGCAACCATTGTGAAGATAGTCTATAGCATCCACGAGGTCAACGGCGATATTTAACCTCTGTGACAAGCTGAGTGTTCCCATTCTGTTTTGGCTTTCAATATCTGGGTGGATCCAGCGGTCTAAGCTGAAATTGGGCATGAGCTCGAAGACTAGCGCTCTGAAGTCTTGGCCTTGGTGGTTGATGCTTGAACAACATGTGATTATCTTTACAAGGCAACGGTGCCTAACTCTTCTTAGTGCCTCACATTCATCCAGGAAGCTCTTGTAGGATCCAGATTGCTGCAGATTAAACACCTTCACAGCTGCAGCAAAATTTTCTATAGTGCCTTTGTATACAGTACCATATCTTCCCTTCCCAAGCAGATTGGCTTCTGAAAACCCATCCGTTGCTTTGAGTATGTCGTTGTATGAAACCATTGGAAGGTCAATCATGATCTTCTGAGGTGACAGTTGTTCTTTCCTCAATCCTGACTTAAATTTTCTGTACAGAAATCCAGCTAAAGCAAGAGCTACAAGTAAGACGAGGGTACCAACTGCTGTAGGGACAACTATTCTCATGGACTTCGGCAAGCCTTTCTTGGAGCTTGGGCATTTTGGCAGCTGAAGCTGTGGTATTCCACCACATAACTCATTGTTGCCAATAACTGATAGTCCAGTTGAATTCCTGAAAATCCCTTCTTTCGGTACCTCACCTTGTAAATTGTTGAATGATATGTCGAGGTGGAGCAGCGATGTCGAATAACCTAGGAGTTCAGGGATTGATCCTGACAGATCATTATGTGCAAGATACAGTTCCTGCAAGCTGGTAATATTGCTCAGTTCCCCTGGGATGCTGCCGTTCAGTTTGTTGTTTGTCAAATTCAGTACAGTAAGCCCTTTGATGTTCTTCAAACTGGGCGGGATGTTTCCTTGGAATGAATTGCCATCCATCAAGAGGGTTTCCAGGACTACGCAGCCACCAATGGTTGCAGGTATTTTACCAGACAACTGGTTCCCTGATAGAATAAGCTGTTCGAGATTTACCAAATTGCCAATTTCTGAAGGTAGAGGTCCCTCCAGCAAGTTGTAAGACAAGGCCAAATAAATTGAGATGGATGATAGTTGCGTAATTTCCTTTGGAATTGAGCCAGAAAGATGGTTCGTCGATATATCTAATGATGAAAGTTTGGTCAAATTTCCAATGCTTGATGGAATCGGTCCCTCCAAGCTGTTGAAGCTTGCACCAAGCCTATAAAGACCAGTGAGGTTTCCGATGGAAGAGGGGATGAATCCTGATAAGTTGTTGGAACTCAGATGTAGCTTCTTCAATCGTATAAGCTTCCCTATGGTCTCAGGAATGGCCCCAGTGAGCAAGTTGCCAGCAAGAATAAGCACCTCAAGACCTATCAAATTTCCAATATCCGATGGAATAGTACCAGATATATTGTTGTTAAAAATATCTAGCTCTCGGATGTTTGTGGACAAGTTAGACAATGAGGTTGGTAATTGCCCCGAGAACCTGTTTTGTTCTATATTTAACAGCTGCAACCTGCTACAGTTTGTCAAAGAAGTAAAGAAGCGCCATTCTTGTTCATTGTTTGCCTCAAACTTGTTTCCAACCAGATTAAACCATCTAAGATACTGCAAATTTCCCAAGTCTGAAGGGACAACCCCACTGAATCCGTTATTTGCAACATCAAAAAGCTCGAGTCTGGAGATATTAGTCAGTGATGGAGGCACAACTCCAGTGAATCGGTTATTCCCAAATCCAAACTGTTGTAAGCTAGGAAGGCTTCTTCCCAGATCAGCTGGTAGACGGCCGTGCAGGTAGTTGTCCGTCACAAAAAACATGTACAGAGATGACTGATTGTACAGCGAAAGAGGAAGCAAACCTGAGAAGTTATTCATGGCCAGCTGAAGGAACTTGAGATGTGCATTGTTCCCGATGCCCTCGGGGATTGATCCCTCGAGATGGTTCGCTGCCAGGGACAAGATGGTCACCTGTGAGAGGTTCCCAAGTGATGAGGGGATGGTCCCAGTGAGGCTGTTGTTGTATAGGTGTACAACACGCAGCGATTGCATCATGTTGCCGATCTCAGAAGGTATGCTTCCTTGCAACCCCTTGTTGTCAGCAATTATCATCACCCTGAGGTTGGTGCAGCGGCTAATGTTGCTTGGGATCGCACCAGTGAGCATGTTCCCTCGCAGTCCAAGGTACTTGAGGCGGCGGAGGGAGCCGATGCTGGGAGGAATCTTGCCGTGCAAGGGATTCAGGCTCAAGTTGAGCCTCCGGAGGAAAGTGAGGTTGCCGATGGAGGGGGAGATGGTGCCGGCGAGCCCCTGGGAGTTGAGGTCCAGAGCGACCACCCTCGACCCGTGCCGCCGGCTGCACGTGACGCCCTCCCAGGTGCAGTAGCTGATGCTCCGGTTCCAGGAGGCCAGCGCCCCGGAATGGTCTGAAATCCTTTCCTTGAAAGCTTGGAGAGCTCTCTCATCGCTGTCGTGTGCGCGCGTCGCCCCCATGGTGGAGAGCAGGAGAAGCACAAGCCATCTGATTCCGACGAGGCACCGTGGCAGCGCCGTACCCCTCCACCGCATGGTCTGCTGCCCTGTGTTGAGTCTTTGCAGACGGTTCTTTTCGCTCTCTCCTCCTTTGCTTGGCACAGATCATCGGAGCTGCATATCTGCCCTTCCAAATACGGAGTCCGCACGCGCACGGTGTCCGCAAGATCTTTTATCCAGATTAAAATAATAGCAACACCGACATCTTCCTGTTGGTGACCCCAGACCTTTGATGAAACCGTGGTGTGCTGGACTGGTTGGCCCTGATTAATTTGCTGCCGAGCTGCACCTGGCCCCAGACTCGCATGCATCCATGATGCTGAAATCCAAGAGGTCCCAGCGATTCATCAAGGCGCGGCGCAATGTATAAACAATCAAAACTGCCTGATGGGAACCAAGGGTAAGTTTTTATATGCCTTATGTAAGAAGAAAACGGAAGTTCAGGATGAAGAAGGAAGGAACAGGATGGCTGTTTTGTAGGCTGTGTGTTTGAATTTTTTTTTTTTAGGAAGAAGGGAAGTTCAGTGCTCATTCATCCCCTTTGAATCAGCAGTGAGCCTGAAGCTGAGCCAAGGAGGGATAGCGCTTCAAGAGAGGGGGCTGGGAGTGCAGCGAAATAACTTTGAAGATTAGCGGCGCGGAATACTCCATGTGCTCCGACAGCACCAATAATGAGGCCACCTTCAGCAAATGATTTCGCCAACTACTTGAAGATCATCTATCCACATTTGGTGAGTTCTGTGAGTGTCAGCTCCATTACTGAATTATTGACTGTTATTATCTGCACCCCCTAAGTTTCAGGCTTCTACAGAAATAGCGACGCTGTTTAGGAAGGAAGAAGGCAGTTGGCTCGCAGCACGCCGCTTCACTGGAAAATCTAGTTGTGCAAGAGAACACCAGATTTCCAGGTAATCTGATGTCAATTCTGTGACCGTCCGGTTCCGGGAGGGCCAGCAGATTGAAATTGCAGCGCCAACCTTTTCCTGTTTGTGACAGCAGACCGAATTCTGACTTGCTGACCCTGATTAATTGGAGCTGCACCTGGTCCCATGCTCCCACAACCCACATGCATCCATGATGTTGAAACCCCAAGGAGGTCCGGTCCCGGCGATCCATCAAGGCGCGGTGGCACGTAATGAATGGACAGCCATAACTGCCTGATGGGAGCCAAGGATAAGCCTTTTCTACGCCTTGTGCAGCGAAAGTCAAGTTCAGAATGGAGGAGGAGAGAGAGAGAGCAGGTTGTACAGCGAAAGAGGAAGCAGATCTGAGAGGTTGTTCATGGCCAGGAAGGAACTCGAGATGTGCATTGTTCCCGATGCCCTCGGGGATTGATCCGTCGAGGTGGTTAGCTGCCAGGGACAAGGTGGTCATCCAGGAGAGGTTCCCGAGTGACGACGGGATGGTCCTCCTGGTGAGGCTGTTGTTGTAGAGCTGTATAACACGCAGCGACGGCATGTCGCCGATCTCAGAAGGTGTCCTTCCTTGCAACCCGTTGTCAGAAATTTTCACCCTCCTGAGGCTGGTGCGGCGGCTAATGTTGCTTGGGATTGTATCGGTGATCATGTTCCCTTTCAGGGCAAGGTACCTGAGGCGGCGGAGGAAGCCAATGCTGGGAGGTATCTCACCGTACAAGGAATTTTCCAAGGGAAAGTGATGCTCAGTGCTCATCCCCTTTGAATCAGCCAGAGTGTGAGCCTGAAGGCGCGGCAAGAATCTGAGCCAAGGAGGGATGATGATGCTTCACCAATTAAAGTGGGCTGCAAATGCAACAGAAGTACTCCCTCGTCCCATAATGTAAGACTTATATTATGGGACGGAGGGAGTAGCTCTGAGTGCTGTCATATATCACCTTTTTCCCTTTTCTTGATTATGCATGAAACTCATTTTTCTTGAGTTTTTTCTTCTAGTGTAGCACCTTTTTTTGCCACTCATCTGGCAGTGTACTGGCCACTTTTTAAATTTATTATTATTATTAATAACTGTAAGGATTTTTCCTTGGACCAGTTTTAATTGCATTTCTGAAAATGCTACATGGGCAGTACGTTTGTAAGTAATGGTTGGGTGTTGTTATTTACCATGTTCCTCTCGGAGTAAAGAAAAATAGTAGTACGAACTAGCAAAATAAACGAGTACTGAAAAGAAGAAGTAGATTCTCAGGTATTCCCGCAAAAAAAAAATCATTTCTTGGATACATTTTTTCTCAACTCGGCTGGCCACTAACATTCTTTTATTAGTTTATTTTTAGTTTTCATTTTTTAGTTTAGACTTTACATGTGCATCTACTGCACAACGTGCAAAACATTAGAGTATGAGCCTTAGAGTGGTAAAAACGGAAAAAAGATTAGGATAGTGAAAATACTAATAAAAGAAAAAGAAAAATGTTAGGAAATGGTAAAAATTTAGTTTATCTTTAGTTTAGACTTTACATGTTCACCTGTTGCACAACCTGCAAAATTTAAAAGAAAATACAAAAAGAGGGAAAAAAGTCTATTTAACCCGCGTAAGACGTTGCTAGCCGAGCGATGTGGGGCTAAACGTTCCACGCGTTGCGTCTGTTTATTCCCAGACTGGGCCCGGGTGTTCGTCCGCTGGCCCACGGCCTTAGCCGACGCGCTCGTGAGCCGCCACAGCCGGTGGGCTCGGTATCCAGGCCTGGTCGTACCATGGCGGTGTCACGGTGCAGAGTTTCAGTCATCAATTATGAATGAACACACCAGTTGCCTAATTATTCTAAAAAAACAGTTGCCAAATTCACTCGTCTAGGCTAATGACAGGACCTAAGTAATGAGACCACGAGCAAGGCAGCCGACTTTGGGCTGACGGGGGACGCTCCTAACCAAGCCGGCTCATCCTTGATCAGGGTTTTTCTGCCTCTCGCTAGCGCCTTCGCCGGCCGGCCTCGTCTTCGATGGTCTTAGGCCATGAGGGCGTGGTGGATTCTGACCATTGCCGGTGGGAGGTCTTGGTTTTTAGATGTGTTTTCAAGATTTGTTAGGGCTTGTGTCCTGTTCAGGAAGGCGAGACAGTGGTGGCTCCCTAAGGATGGAACAAGATTCTCTCTGCCTAGCCACCGTTCTGGCGGTGCATCTAGCATCGTCATCATCAGTGGGCGTGTGGAGGTGTGTCTCCGGCAAATCTATTCTTGCTGGATTTATTTGTTCATCGTTCGTCTACATTCGTGTGTTTCAGGTTGAATTCTTCCGATCTACGCTACAATTCATCAACGGCGGTTGCCGTTCTGGTGCGCTAGTCATATGTGGTCTTAGCATGACGACTTCCCGATTGTCTACTACAACAAGTTTTGCCCCAGCTCCGGTGAAGGAGGGCCGATGACGGTGGCGCGCCACCTTCAGCAAGTTTCAGTGCTTGTAGTCGTCGCTAGGTGGTTTATGAATCCGGGTTTAATTTTTATTATTTTTGGTGTTCGTTGTACTCCCATAACTGAAGATGAATAGATCGAATGTTTTTCCGCAAAAGAAAATACATGTTCCAAGTAATATTACAGAAATTCACCACCACTCTTTGCAAAATAATTAGGTTTTTAGGTTCGCGCCGCAACCCAGATAGATTATGTTATTTCAAAACATTATTTCAACGTGTAAGATTGATTACGATAATCAATCGCCATGGAATACTTTTTGACTAGGTATCAGCAATCTAATAGTTTGGACACCACTAGGTATCGGCAATCTAATAGTTTGAACATGGGTTGCTCTCAAAGGCGAGGTAGACCAGCGACCTTTACAAGGGATTTTCTTCCTTCCCCGCGAAGAAAGAAAGAAAGGGCGTCCACATGCAGCCGCCCAGAGCGTCCTCTTTCGCCGTCGTCCTCCGGCGACTCCCCTTCTGTGGTAGGGGGAGGGGGGGAGAGGGGGGAGGGGCGTCGGATCCACGCTTGTGGATAGTTTTAGTCCAAAGTAGTTTAGTTTTGGATTGTTCATTATCTTGGCTTCGGCAGCGGTGATGACGACCCTGAATAGTCTCTTCAGATCCTACTCTGACGAGGCAACCGGTCCTATGGTTGAGGATGGATTAGGAATCCAGTCTGTTCAAGCAAAGATGGTGCGGCGACGACGGCTGCTCGGGGTAGACCTGTGTCCTCGGGCTCCGTCATTGCGACGACATTTGCTCCAGCGTTGGCGCGGGACTTGGGATGTATTTCAGGAGTGGATGCAGATTATGGTCCGCATCGACGGCATATGGAAGATAATGGATCGTTTGTTGAGTTTATGGTACGTGGATGGTAGGTATGGTTTCCTCCTCCGATGTCTGGAATTCGATGGCGTATCCAGGTGTTGCCCCGGTCTGGCCAGAGGTTAGGGACGACTCGCACTTCAGCCAGATGGGTTGCATAGTGCCAGGCCGCCAAGTTATTTCCCTTTTCCCTTTTTTCTATTTTCTATTTATTTTGCCTCTGTTTTGATTTAGTAAAAATGGTAAACCATTTTTGTTGATTCCACAATTTATTGTGGGCATCAACTGAATTATTTTAGAGGCCCTCAAATAATTGCGAAATATTTGGAGCCATAAAATTATTTATAAATATTATTTGCTCCAACTCAAATAGAATATTCATTAATTCAAAGGCCATAAATGCCATGAAAAAATGTGCATCATCTCTGGTTAAGGTTTTCACATTTTTCCCTAAATCATGAACATTTTTTAAGGGCATTTTGGATTCATTCAAAAATGTTCTAAGTTGAACCTATTTGAAATCCATTTGGTGCTAGGGTTTGATCATCCCCATTTCAAGTTTCATCAAATTTAAACATGAAGGCAGGCAGTAGAGGATCGTTCCTGCCCGTCCAGGGTGGCCCAGAGGTCAATTTTTTTTGCTTCCTTGATGACATTTTAGCTGCAGAAAAATCTCCAGATCTAGTAAAACAACTGCAAATTAGCTGCAGTTTTGATTATGAAAGATTAAACGGTCTATAGCACATCTGAAATTATCGTCTGAACAACGGAACACAGCAAGATTAACCATCACATTTTGCCTTTTATTATCTCTTTTGCAGACCCTCACGAACCCAGCC